ATATACACACACATAACTATATAGTTAATATATAATATTTGAGAAAGAATGAGAAATCGCCCCCAGAGGGGATGACCCCTTCTCCTCAAGCCTCCTCTCTGGCTTTTTGGCACATACGCACACATGCCCAGTGTGATTTTCAAGGCACTGGGTCCAGGACTTGAACCACATAAACAGCCACGTGGAATCCAGTGCCTTAACCTCCATGCCATCTGCTGGCCCCTAATTTAAAACTGTGTGTTATTCTGAGTAGTGTGATGACATTTCATCCTGTCCTGTCTTGGATGTGAATCATCCCATTGTCCAGCATATCTCTGTTATCAGATCATTGGATCAACAAATATTATATATATATATATGTATATATATACATATATATATATATACACACATATATATATATAATATATTAAAATATATAGAAAAAAAGAAAGAAAGAAAAAGAAAAACTTATGAATGGCTTATTTCTGGTCCATTTACTATTTCTGGACCTTGGTTGACTGGAGGTAATTGATGTCCCGGAAATAAAGCTGAAGATACGGGAGGCCTCTGAGGCACTTTCCCTCTGTAAAGTCGCCTTTCCATCCCGCGTTTATGGTGTACTAGTGTCTCCCTTACTAGAGTGTGAGCTCCGCCCAGAGGGGCAGGAACCATGCGGGCCTGGTCCTGGAACCAAGCACTGCACTGGATACATAGCAGGCAGCCAGTAAATGAGTGAGCAAGTGGTCAGATGCTGGCCAAATGTCCTTGGGGGAAAGGGAGCAGAGGAACTTTCCCAGTGGCAGTGGGGGTGGTGATGGCTTGCTCATCCTACCAACATTCCCACCCGAATTTCTGGGGTGCTGAGAACAGGCCCTGGGGGGCAGGCCAAGTCTCCCTTGGGCTTCTCTTTTCACCAATGAATTTCTGTTTGGGCTTGCAGCATACCTGGAGGCCAGCACTAAGAGTCTAGGCACTAGGCACTGGCAAGTGGCATGGTGGTTAAGGGCACTGGACTCCCACATGACCAACCATGGTTCGAGTCCTGGACCTGACAGCTTGCTTTTGCTTTTTCACTTTCCCTCTGTGTCTCTATCTCTTCTCCTGTTCTCTGTCCCTCTTTGGTCAAATAAAATAAATAAATAAATAAATAAATTTAAATAAAATAATTCTTTTTTGGGGGGAGAGGATTTTTGCTATAGGCCGGATGTGCTCACCAGACAGAGAGAGAGAGACATAGACAGAAAGCGAGAAATCACCCCCAAGGGGGGATGGTCACGCCGCAATCCCTTCTCCTCCATTCTCCTCTCGGGATCTTGGGCACGCACGCACATGTGCCGGGCGTGAGTTTAAGCCACCGGGTCTGGGACTAGAACTGCGATTGACTACATGGGAGTCCAGCGACATAGCCATTATGCTAACTGCTGGTCCCTAAATAAAATAATTCTAAAAAAAAAAGAAAAGTAGAAGAAGCTACAGGTCAGAGACAGGACAGCCAGCAACTAGGTCTAATTGGCTCTGGGGTCAGAACCAGCCCTGTTTTGACTCCCTTCCCTAAAGAAGGGGTTTTGGACAAACACAAATAGGGTATGTTTTTCAGATCTGAAACACTAGGGGAATCCGGACTACAGGACTACAGGGTGGGGATCCAGACTACAGAGTGGGCCAGAGCTAGTCCTAGTCTTGCCAGTCCACCCATCGGCGCTTTGGGAGGGGTGAGAGGTGTAGACTAAGACCTTGGTTTCCCTCCCTCCCCTTCCCTCCCCACCTCCACCCACAATTCTGGATTCTGCCACCAGGGGGCGCGAACAGGCCGCGCTAGCCCTAAAGCAGGGGCGGGGTGGGAGAGTTTGTAAGAGGTTGAGGTCAGGAGGGGCCCTGGGCGCCAGTGGCGAGTGCGTCAGGTTGTGCGTCTACGCCGTCTGTGACGCTGGTATTCTGTTAGTCCGATGGGTGAGGGGGTGTCCACAAGGGTTGATCAGCCGCAGTATTCCGCAGGAAGGGTGTGTGTGTGTGTGTGTGCGCGTGTGCGTGTGTGTACATTTTCCCAGATCCAGGGAGGAAGGTGATGGGAAGTTGGTACCGCTGAGATCCAGGTTAGAATTAAGTGGCATGGTGGATGGGGCAGCTGGACTCCCATGTGACTGATTGTGGTTCAAGTCCTGGACCTGGTAGCTTGCTTTCTCACTTTCCTTCTCTCTCTCTCTGTCTCTCTCTGGTCAACTTCAAAAAATAAATAAAATAATGACAATGAATAAAAGTAAATAAAAATAGTTTTTGTTTTGTTTTGTTTCTCCAGAGAGGTTTTTGCTATAGGGCATGTGCACTCGCCAGACAGACAGAGAAAGACAGAGAGACAGAAAGTGAGAAATCACCCCACAGGGGGGGACGGCCACGCCACAATCCCTTCTACTCCATTCTCCTCTTGGGATCTTGGGCACGCATGAACTTGCGCCCAGCGTGAGTTTGAAGCCACCGGGTCTGGGACTCGAACCGCGGTCAACTACATGGAAGTCCAGCGACATAGCCATTACATTAACTGCTGGTCCCTAAAATAATTCTTTAAAAAGAGAGAGAGAGAGAGAGAGAGAGAGAGAGAGGCTGGCAGGTGGCATGTGGTTAAGGGTACTGGATCCCCACATGGCGACCCTAGTTCATGTCCCAGACCTGACGGCTTGCTTCTCCCTTTCCCTTTCTTTCTTTCACTCTGTCCCTCTCTGGTCAAATTTAAATAAATAAATAAATAAATAAATAAATAAATAAATAAATAAATAAAGTAAATTAATTCTTTTTTTAAAAAAAAATAATCATGGGACCAGCAATTAGCGTAATGGCTATGTTGCTGGACTCCCATGTAATCGACCACAGTTCAAGTCTCGGACTCGGTGGCTTAAATTCGCACCAGGCGTGTGTGTGTGTGTGTGTGTGTGTGTGTGCCGAAGATCCTTAGAAGAGAATGGAGAAGGGATTGTTGTGTGGCCATCCCCCCTGGGGGTTGATTTCCCGCTTTCCGTCTCTCTGTCTCTGTCTTTCTGCTAGCACACGTGCCCTATAGTAAAAACCTCTCCACAGAAAAAAAATTAGGAATCCAGCTGGGATTTGAGGTGGAGAAGGGCCTCTGCTTCTTTTAGTCCCCCAAAGTTCTGAAGGCATTAGCAGCCTCTCCCCTTCTTTGTGCCTAAGTTTCCTCATCAGGAAAATTGCATGTGGAGTCCACAACCCCACCCACTGCTTTTGGTTCCAGCTGTCTGCAGCCACCTCTCAGAAATGGGCACCCTCCCCCTTGGGACCAGCAGTTAGCGTAATGGCTATGTCTCTGGACTCCCATGTAGTTGGCTGCAGTTTGCGTCCTGGACCTGGTGGCTTGAAACTCACGCCAGGCGTGTGTGCGTGCGTGCCCAAGATCCTGAGAGGAGAATGGAGGAGAAGGGATTGTGGCATGGCCATCCCCCCTGGGGGGTGATTTCTGTCTCTGTCTCTGTCTGTCTGGCGAGAGCACGTGCCCTATAGCAAAAACCTCTCCACAAAAAGAGAAAGAAATGGACCCCCCGCCAGCACCTCCAGTAGTCGCTTGCCCAGAAGACCCTCAGGGCACCCACATCCCCAGACCCCTCCCCAGCTGTGGGGCCCATGGTCACGAGAGTTGGGGCAAGGAAGGGGCTGGCAGGCAATCCTGGTTTGCTCGAGTGGGACTCAGGGTGACTGTCCCTTTTCTATACTGTGGACCCCGTCCTGTTTCCTTTCCCCACCCTGCTGGCCAGCCGCCCCCTCTGGCCCTCTCCCACCCCCAGCAGCTGTTCCTGTTTGTTTTCCCAGATCAGTTGTGCTCAGAGCTTCCTGAAGGATGGATGCCCAGGTGGCTTTGTTTGCCAGCACAGCGCTGTCAACCCTGCCCCCTCCACATCCACAGCCTTGGCCTTCAGCCTTTGTGCCTGGAGCGGGAGGGAGAAAAACACTGAGCATCTCCAGATCTACCCCTCAGAGAGACCGCACCATCTCATGACCCTCAGAAAACCCCCACCCTGGCCCATTCTCTTGCTCCATATAGGGTCCTCTGCGTGGATCACATGGAGAAGCCTCAGGATCCCACCCTCCTACTCTGAGCCCCTGCATTCTGCCAGAACACTCATCCCAGCAGACCCATGCCTGAGTCCCCTCGGTGAAGCTCTCAGATTCCAGCCAGACCTCCCTCCCAGGTAGGGACATGTCCACCCCCCAAAAAAACCACTCAGACCCAATTTGAGCTCCCACTCAGGTCTCCATGCCAGTCGAAGGCCCTGAGGGTCTCCCAAGAAGTGACACTGCCCCCTTCTAGAGCACCGTCCCACTTCTCGGTGCTGCGGGGCAAGTCAGGGGTGCTGGTGGCCATGTCCTCTTGGCAAGATGGACTGCTTCCAGTCCAGACCCCTCATTTCACTGGGAAATCACCCAGGCTTTGGTGACTAAATATGCAAATTCTGGGGCTGGTGTCCTCCCCCACCCTGGGACAGTCACCAGCCCCTTCTTTTGTCCTCCTCCTCCAGCCCCTGCCCTCACTCCAGGTCTGGAGCCAGAATCAGGCAGACGAGCACCATCCCCAGGGCTGTGCAGCACCAGTCTCCTGGGAGACAGAGATAAAAGGTGCAGAGACCCAGGGCTGGCAGGTCAGGGGCCCCACCACACAGACCCATTGTCCTGTCCTGCTGGAAACAGAGTCCCTCTTCACTGTCCCTCACTGGGATTGGAGACCTGGCCCCCATCCAGGGAGATGGGAAGCCGCTTTCACCACTATCGCTCACCCAGACACAGAATCACGGGGCTCGGCCAGGGTGGCAGGGAGAGGCCACGCCCAAACACACGTGCACGGTCAGCTGCAGACAGGCATCCGCACAGCGCCAGGTGCATGGACCCCACCCCACATGCATGTCATGTGAACAGTCATGTTTTAGGGTTCAATAGACACCTCAGCTGCCTTTTTTCCTATTCCTTTTTAGGTTTATTGCCATAGGATGTGTGCACTTGCCAGAGAGAGACAGAGATAGTGAGAGAGAAAGTGAGAAATCACCCCCTGGGGGTCAACCAAACCACAATCCCTTCTTCTCCCTGAGTTTTGGGTATGCCCACACACATGCCCAATATGATTTTCAAGCTGCCAGATTCTGGACTCGAAACATGACTGGTCATGTGGGATCCAGCACCTTAACCACCATGCCACCTGCTGGCCCCTAGATGCCTCAATTTCATCACATTCAATTAGAGGCAGATGTTTACTTACTTAATCTCAAATTAAAACAAAAAGATTTATTATTTTATTCACCAGACACACACACACACACACAGAGAGAGAGAGAGAGAGAGAAAGAAAGCCACCAGGTCCGAGACTCGAACCACAGTCAGCCATGTGAGAGTCTGACACTTTAACCACCAGACCACCTGCTGGCCCCTCCCTCAAATTTTTAATAAGGTGTTAGACTGTGCCATGTGCTATTGCTAGGCATTGGACTCACCTACGAACGTGCCCACATGAACTTTCACGAACACACATACCCATGCCATGGTCATCCAGAGAGGCTTCATTTCAGTCACCCACCCACGATCCGTATGAGTGCGGGCTCCAGAGTCTCACAGCTGCTGGGGTTTAATTTCCAGCTCCATTGCTTGGAAGTTGGATGAACTTCCTTCTACTCAGTTTTTTCCTCTGTAAAATGAGAATAATCATTTTTTAAAAGAATTATTTATTTATCTTTATTTATTTAAATTTGACCAGAGGGGGACAGAGTGAGAGAGATAGAGAGATGGAAAGTAAGAAAGCAAGTCACCAGGTCCAGAACTCAAATCGTGGTCAGCCACATGGGAGTCCAGGGCCCTTAACCACCACGCCATCTGCCGGCCCTGGGGATAATCATCTTAAAGACTGTCGTGAAGATTTCAATGCATGGAAAACACAGGACTGGCCTGCAGAACATGCCCAACAAATGTTAGCTGTCACTGTTGGAATGGTTGTGGTCAGCACTGTCACATGGTTCCCTCCACTGCCCTTGGACCGGGGCTGGGTTTCAGGGCCTGGTGCACGGCTGCAGCCATGGCTCAGGGATCCAGCCACATTCCCTCTTCCCACCCTCGCCCTGTGGAAGGCAGCCTAGTTCTCAGGATGGGGTGCCTTCCTGCCTCACCCCATTTGAGACACTCTGCTCGTGGCCTCGGGGAGGGTTGGGAGGTTCCAAAGGGGGTGTCCCAATGTCCGTTCTCGGGTCTCTGCTCTCTAGGAAAACACACCTGGGCGGGAATCTATGACCAGGCTTCTGGTCCCGGTGCTTCTCCTGGCTCCATATGTGAGCTTTGGCCACTCATTTACCCTCCTGGGAACTCCATTGTTTCTGTTTCTGCTTATTTATTTGTCCTTTCTTTTTTTATTTGTCAAAGGTCACATGCACTACTAGAGGCAGAGAGAGAAAGCACTTCCCATTGGGACAGAGGTAGTCATGTCATAATCCCGTCTCCCCGTCTCCATCCTGTCAGGATTTTGAGCTCACATATGCTCATCTTTTCTGGTAGTGGATTTTTTTTTTTTTTTTTTTTTTTTTTGCCATAGGGTATGCGTGCTCTGCAAAGAGAGAGAGAAACAGATGGAGAAAGTGAGAAATCTCCTCCCCCAGGGGAGATGACCATGCCACAATCCCTTCTCCTTCGTTCTCTTCTCAGGATTTCGGGCACACACACGCACCTGTACCCGGGGAGATTTTCAAGCTGCCAGGTCTAAGACCTGAACCATGGTTGGCTATGTGGGAGTCCAGGCCCTTAGCTACCATGCCACCTACTGGCCTTCCATGGTATGTTTTTAAGCTGCCGGGTCTAAGACTCGAACTGCACAGTTGGCTATGTAGGATCCAGGGCCTTAACCACTATGTCACCTGCTCACTGGCCCATTAAGTTTGTCAACCTGTGCTGGGGCCAGGATTGGATTCACTTGACCACTAGATCCCTTGACCACTAGACTGTGGAGCCTCCCAGGCCCGTTTTTTTTACCTATAAACTAAGCCAGCTGGCCGAGCCTCCCAGCCCTGACTGGGGATTCTGCGATGCCTCCGGAAGGCTCCCTCCCGTCCGGCCTCCACTGCCCCACCCATCCACCCACCTGGCCTAGCCAGAGTGAGGGGGCGAGGTGCCCAGTCTCCATGGGGACTAATCTCCAAGAAGGTCAGTGAGGCTCTGGTGAGGCTCTGGTACTGCCTTGGCCGGATGGGGATTAGCGCCTGGGTGAGAGCCCCCCCTCGGTGCCTCCGCTCCCAGGTCCCCCCACTCTCACACAGAGCCTGGGTGGTGGCCAAGCTCAGAAGTTCCAAGGGTAGGCCAGAATCGTCGCTGGGGTGGGTGGAAGCAGGGCAGCGGCCGTAGCCGTTGGCCTGTCCAGTTGTGGCTGGAAGAAAAGGGGGGGGGGA